CCGTTGGAGAAATAAATTCTTACATTTAATTAACAAATATTTCATGAATAACGTTGGGATAATTTATAAACTCTGAGATTCTGACAGGCGGGGTTGCCGAAGTGCATGCACACTGTGCAGGGCACCGGGAGCTGCTAGCGCGGCGTGAAAGTGGCGAGGGGGCGCGGGGTGGAGCAAGGTTAGGAGCGTCTGACGTCACCGTTACTTGCGTTGACAAGATGACAAGACTGAATATATAGACATACTGGGGAAAACCAACCATCTGTTTAAATTTATAACCAAGAAATAAATTCTTAAAAGCGATTAAGTGTGACTCTTAATATATTTTCATGTTGTGAGTCTGCAACATGAATTGAATGCATTTCATTCAATGCATTCATTTGAATGCATTGAATGCATTCAATGCAGACATTGAATGCATGTCTCTGAAACTATGCTCTAAATTGCAGTACATCTGGCAATGCAGGTTCACTACCTAATCTCAGTAATTTAACATAAGCAAGCCTAATTTATTAGCACCCGATGCGATGCGGTTCACCAACACGCACGTCGATTGTCGGCACGTTGCTCGCAATAAGCGCTAGTGACGTCGTACAACAATTATGAGAAGCGTTCGCGTTTCGTCAGCGAAGTTTCTTGCGGGTCGTCGCTATAGAGAACTTTCGCTGTCACTGTAGCTCCTGGGAACTCCTACGTTACTAGGAAGCTTCCCTGCACTTCATGCGCCGTATAAAAGTGCCTTCTTACAGAGAAATTCAAGTTCATTACCAAGAAATTTGCCAACTGCACGCTTTATAGCGTTTTCTATGCTCGAAATATTCTTGAAATAATTGATATAATAAGGATTTGAAAGGAATACGAAAGATTTCACCTTTAATATCACCAGCAGGTGATTAGCTCAAGATATCAATTTATGATCTACGCAGCTCATATCCAACTAAAATACTAGATTTTAAGATTATGTATGATATTGTAACGAACTATATGCGTTCACTTACATGCTTGATGCACACAACTCGCGTTCTTCAAAAATTATTTCACGATGAGTGTGCGAGCAAACGGTCTATTATGAGTGAAATTTACAAGACGCTCTTGAATTTTCGTTTTTCGCTTCGAAGAACAAAGTGCAACGAAGGTCTAGTAGCACAGCCGGTGCAGCATAGTATGCAGTTAATGCCACGCACCATATTCAGCCTACATGACATTTCCCTGCCTCTGCAGCAAGAGTTCACTTCTAGTAAAGGCTATCGGTGGCTATCCTTGTATGTCTTTAATATGCAACCTAAATATCTAAATAAAAAGATATTGTTGATAATTAACCCCTCTGTCGTTCTACTTCGTTTTGTTGGATAGATGTTCACAACAAAATTAAGTTTGAATGCCTGGGCTTCCCCTGGAAAGTTTTGCCGTTGAATCATGCATCCCATAGGACGCTGAGTGATCAGGTATATTATATAGAAGCACGTGAATCTATTTCCTAAATGCAGTCCATAATTTAGTATATACGCCATTGTGGTGTCTGTTTAACCATTGCTTTGAAAGATTATATGTAATGGAATGCATTAATCAAGTTCATTTATCCAATCATAACTTTTTCGATATTTATTGTTTTTATGGTGAAAAAAAGGTGCAATGGGCACCCACTGAATTACGTAACCAGCTCTGCGTGCGGTACTGAATCACGTGAAGATAAATCGTTTTAAACAGACTTTTGAAGCCACCAAGCTGCATTTGGGGAGTGAAAACATCTATGAGTGCAAATGATGAACAAGTAAAATCGATCAGTACCTATAAACGCAAAAAATGTGAAATTTAAGTTTAAAAATTTATATGTTGAATTACTGATAAAGGATAAGGGATCTTAGAGATTTGGAACAGAAAAACTTAATCCCCACTGATATGAAATTAACCTACTAATACCCATTAATAGAAACGAGGCCAACATCGCTCTAATAAAAGTGATAGTTGGAGAGTATTTGGCCGCCCCAGATGCGCGTGTGGGCCGCGGTGTAGGTGTCTTCACAAGGCCTTCCTAAGCGGGGCCGAGAAGCTGCCCTTGCTATTTAGGCGCCCTTCATGCGGTCGCCCACGCTATGTACACGCTCATTGCATGCATTCTTTACCGATTTGTTACGCATATATGTATAATTTACCATTAAAAATTGTTAAATGGAAAATACGTTGGACCGTTCCACTAAAATATAAAAATTAATCTTATTTTGGAGATTTATTTACATTAATAAAAGAACTACGCTTATACTATTTTATCGATAACCACGTTTGCGTTATTTTTATTGAAAGCATAATAGATAGTTGAAGTTTACATTGGAATGTGTCCTAAATAGTTTGCACACAATATGTTTTTTTTAATTCTAGCTTGAGGTTATGCGAAAGGATTTTAAATAACTGAAAAATATTTAAATTTGGGAAAAATCAATCTTGCCAATCTGAAAAAATGTCCCGTGCAACGGACACTCAATGAGTTACGCAACAAGTTCAAATTACGGATGGAATTTACGACTTTTAAAGTAAAAAAGCTGGCCTGGCTTGCCAAACCCCCCCCCCCTTTTCCCCACAACGAAGCAGGTGGCTCTACTTCAAAATTCAATCCATTGATTCTTGGGTTTTGCTGAAAATCTGGGGTTTTGCTGAACATGTTCGCAAATCTTCCTGCGCAAAATAACAAAATGAAACTTTTCGCTGCAATGCATGTTTGAAATTTATTATAATCTGATCAATCGTTTATTTTAACGAATTATTAATCCTTTGTAGATTTTGGTTTGAGATCACCAATGATCAACCCCGACACTGCTGCTCTGTATTCAAGAATCATGGGGTGGCTTAGAAGTATCTATCAAGGATGAAGCGAATGTAATAATATTCGATAAATGCATACAGCTTAATGAATTCGTTTTGCGAATTTAGTTGTTATACAAAGTAAATTAATTTGTTGGTTTAATAATGCGCCATGGCAATTATGAGGACCTGACAGTTCAATTTAAAAATCAGCGAAGAATTGAAGGATTAGAAGACTAATGAATTGACCGCTAACCTATTTTTGTTAATGTATAGTAGTTAGTGGGGGAATAGATGAACTGCTGATTACTCACTCAGACTACTAAAATGATGGTTTTATTGAAACAGACAATAAAATTACTTCTAATAAAGTGGGATGTTATATCGGGTTAGAGTTTGATCAAAATAAATTATTTGTTTAAGAATTTTGCAAAGAATTAACATCGATTTTGTGTACTGTAACATGAGTAATTTCCAGGCGCTGAACATTCTGTACAGCGACTTCAATGCACAGTAGAGAGGTATCCTTGATATGAAATTCTGTAAACAAATACCAGACGTAGAAACTTTTTCAGATGACCTCTTCATTTTGATACTGCCAATGAATACATCGAACAAATTGATTATTTAACACCTAATTATGAGAAAGACAAAAAAGATTCCGGTAGAAAGGTGACCCGTTAATGAGAATACAAAGAAGGGATAAGTAGTCGTTAGAAGTAATGAGCATGCAGTGACGTGCAACAGATGGCAAACAGGACTCAGGACATCCGATGCATCATCCTTTGCTCAACAGCGCAAGAGAAATTAAGAAACTTTCAGTTTCGTCGGATGCCCCAAGACTTGAGTGAGTCGGAGCTGTGATGCGTGTATATACTTGCGATTGCCGGGGCTCGTTGAACGCGTTATAAGTCCTTAGATGTCATCACTCACAATCACTTTCTTGGGTACTTCCATGCTATTAATTATTTCCCGACAGGCGATTACTGAGGGCAATTCACTTTCTTGCATAATTATTGGAAACATAAAAAACACGTTTTTACGGTTATTTTCAGGCAAAACTCGCTTTTTAAAAACACAGACATATTTATTTAAATAACTTATTAGTGGTGATCACTTCATAAGATGAACTTACCCGTAGCCATTTGAAGAGACGGCTACAGCCTCGAAACAAAACACCCCGTCTACTCCCTCACACACACTACAGTCCCTTGTGCGCACCGAGGCTGCTAGTCTCACACTGACGTGGGGTTGCCTGCCCTGCCTCAGCGTCGCCGCTCCCACTGTCTTTCGCTCGCTTAGAATTGATCCAGTATGGCGTAAGTTACATAAGATCAGAGATATTATTATCAATGCTGAAATGCTATATAAATATTTGAAGGAAACTGTGGCGTTTACCGGCTTTACATAATTAAGCTGACAATAAAAATAAAAATTCCGGGTTAAATTCCAGCAGTTGTGTTCCGTCTGAGGTGACGTCATCACTCAGCCCCGGAGAGGATTGGCTCCGTTGGGAACGGGGAGGTGGAGTCTATCTGATCAAATTTGATGCTAATTTTTGTATGAATTATCAAAATATGACCTTTTTCAATTTTGTAACTTAAATCTAAGGCAAAGAATGGCCTTAAAGTTACCAATAGATTGCCTAGCGAGCTGTGGTCGGTGAACATGCGTGGTCGTGCCCCATGTGCATGCCTCAGCGCCGACAGGTGTAAACCTTTGGGCTGCGCTGACAAGTGCTCTGGTTGACCTCAGAGGGCGAGCTGAGTGACCTCTGAGAGCGAGCTGAGGGACCTCAGAGGGCGAGCTGAGTGACCTCTGAGAGCGAGCTGAGTGACCTCAGAGGGCGAGCTGAGTGACCTCTGAGAGCGAGCTGAGTGAACTCTAAGCTGGGTGATTTTTAGTTTTCAGGTACTTGGCTCAGCCCAGTTCTAAAACTTGTTAATTTATATGAAACTGCTCTGAGTGCGTGCTGAATGATTCTGAGCTGAGTGACCTCTGAAAGCGAGCTGAGTGACATCTAAGCTGAGTGATTTTGAGTTTAGTGGTACCTAGCTCAGTTCAACTCTGAACTTGTTAATTTATATGAAGCTCCGCTGGGTGCGATTTTGGGCATTCTAAATGATTCTGGGCGGAATGCCCCCTGAGAGCGACTTAAGTGACTGTGAGCTGAGTGACCTCTGAGAGCGTGCTGAGTGACTGACTGTGAGCTGAGTGACCTCTGAGAGCGAGCTGAGTGGCTGTGAGCTGTGTGACCACTGAGAGCAGCTGAGTGGTTGTGAGCTGTGTGACCACTGAGAGCAGCTGAGTGGTTGTGAGCAGAGTGACCTCTGAGAGCAGCTGAGTGGTTGTGAGCTGAGTGACCTCTGAGAGCAGCTGAGTGGTTGTGAGCTGAGTGACCTCTGAGAGCAGCTGAGTGGCTGTGAGCTGAGTGACCTCTGAGAGCGAGCTGAGTGGCTGTGAGCTGATTGACCTCTGAGAGCGAGCTGAGTGGTTGTGAGCTGAGTGACCTCTGAGAGCGAGCTGAGTGACCTCTGAGAGCGAGCTGAGTGACTCTCACACAAGAGTGCTCGCCGCAACGGTACTCTCCTGGAGCGGATGCTCCCCGAACTGAACGCCTAAGCCACTGACGTCCCCCGCCTCGGCTGCTGTCAGCCTCAACTCTCAAGTCTTTGTCCTTCCTTTGCTTCCATTGCGGGCATCCCGCCATTCTTGGAGAAAAGTGCCATAAAATTCATGTAACATTCGGGTAGAATAATTGTTATTTTGGTTTCAAACACACGACATGGAGAATAAAGGTAAGCAAAAATTATTTTCAATTATATTTAATTTTAAAAGTTGATGTAAAATGTACTTCAAGGTGGAGTAATATATAACATGAGGTGGAATCTTGACGTCTTAATTTTCAGAGATTTGTACCAGCATTTCCGGTGCATTAATTTATATTAATATTACTAATATTTTATATTATTAAATATTTTACTTTGTTATATTTATGTTTTTTGAAACAATAAAACCGTACAAGGTTAGTTGACCACTTGCACATTGCGCTGCTATCGCATCGCCAATTTTCGGTTCCTAGAAAGCCAGCGTCACGCCATCTAAGGTCCCGTTTATTCCATGAAGTCCGCGCACCGTCGAAGATTGAGCCAAAGAAACTCATCTTCTTTGGCGTGAAAAAAGCTTTTCACTAAAGGTAGTTTGCGTAGAATAAATCAGGGTTTCTTCTTCACTCGTCTTTCTTCAAGCATCTAAGAAAAAATTGATGACTTGGTGGATGTTTATCAGAGAAGCTCATCATGCACGACGGAACCGAACGGTGCTGCGTTGGCTACGCACTGCGATGTACGGTGCACAACGACTTTTATTAATGAAACGCGATCAAATGGAAACAACTCGAATATAAGTTCTGATGTAGATAATTACTGTTCCTTATCAAACTCGCATAATTTTTTGTTCGCACCAGAAAAATGCTACTCATTTCTTTAGAGTTACAGGCTCCAATAACCAGGTAATATGAGCCGCAGGTTAGGAGTACACTTAAACGCTCACGTCACAGGATAACGCAGCATTTAAGGACCATCTTGAGGGGTGTGCACTTCAGGCTCTAGTTATTGCCTCATCATCAGCGATCCAGTTACGCTCGTTAGACCTTGTGTCAAGCTAGTAGGTAGAGGCTTTCTTGGTACTATTCTTGAGCTAGTTCATTAGACCTTGGGTCAGGTATGACTCAAGCTGGAGGCTTCGTTTGTACTTTTTTAAGCTTGTTGTCGTGTCTCAAGGAGGTCTCCAGCAGGCGCCTTGTTTGGTACTTGGTTAAAGCTGAAGGATCGAAGCACAAGCAAATGTAAGCCATTTGGAGGATATAGCCATGAGCCATTATTTATCAGTGGGAAAAAAGTTTAAACAATTTTGCTTCATAAGTAACTAGCCTATCGTTCTGATCACATGGGTTACAAGCAAACTAACTAGGTTTATTGAACAATCTAAATCTAACTTTAAAATTTTTTTTCTAAAATTTAACTTCTCTTACTTTTAAAGTTTAACCATCACTAAGGAACTTCCAACCAAATATGTTGAGAACGTACAATATATAGAATCCAATAAAGGATCGTCATGATATCGTGGTCGAAGCTAAGACTATACAACCTTCAGGCATCCACGAGGACCCATATCAGCACAAACGACCCGGGCCTTATCGCTGCACCCACGAAAACTGCCACTCAAGGCCAACACAATAAAAATTTTATCCCCATGCATGCCTGATAAAATGAAAAATTCAGGAAACAAAAATAATTTACCCCTGAATAATGTATGAAATAACAAAGCAGGGTTTTGTTTGCGACTTTTCTGGAGTTGCTCAGTTGTAATGTGGCGACAATTTCTTCGTTTCACCAATAGAGTTGCCTTCTTTCCATCTCGCGGTTTATTGAATGTGTACATGGTTGGATGAACATGATTAAATTTGTACAATTAAAGTATATCGAGGTATATAAAGTTAGTCTGAAAATTTTCAAGATATATCTATTCTCATGTACAACAGCGGATTCAGACAGACAAAAAGTATCAAGCTAGGTTAAGTGTGAGGCAGAATTGATATAACTTTTGCTCATTGTAGTGTTGAAGTTACTCTTCAAATTTTCATGATGTATCTATTCTCCAGGTCCAACTGGGAATACCAGACAGACGAAGCATACATCCATGACAGGGTGTGTGTGGCTTTAGAGCCTCCCCGCCATATCAGGGAGCAAGAATGTACTCTTGGTATACCCTCGCACCTTTAAAGGATTACCTGCCATGGCTGGAAAAAAACATGAAGAAGACACACTAATGCTGCGGCCTATCATAGCTCTTGTTCGTTAAATCTGCAATAAATAAAGTTGTTGATCGACGTCACGTTAATGTTTAGCTGCTACTCCGTACCAGTTTGATTTGCTTGCATGAAATACACCGCATTCCTGTGATGAATATTTCCGCAGAATTTGATCACATAGGTAAATCCTAGCGAGTTATTCCCTCTGGGTCACTCAGTACATACAACTAACAATATCCATTTGGGGAATTAGTGTGTTCATAACTGAAGCCCAAAATTCAACAGGCGCCCGGAATCCATTGTCAAATAATTAAATTTATGAACAGAGATAATTTGAAGATTGTATGAATCTTGAAGCTGCAGTTTTATCGCGAGGCTGTAGCAACATTGCAAGGAATAGACCTGATCCATACCTCAGAAATTGAACGTTGCTCAGACCAGACGTCGTTTGCGAGGTGCCATACCACAGCACAAAGAAACCCGGTTACTATAGGGTGGAAAATCTCAATTTGGAGAAATTTAATCGTTTATTATTGTTGTTTATGCTGTTATGAATGGAACGATTCGGCATTGAACTCTTTGCAATTAGATGAAATTAAAAACAAAAAAGAAATAAATTTTGCCACTTTTACCTTCAACAAACGATCTGCAGCTTTATCGTAAAATTCCTTTCATTGTAAAAAAGATACTTCAGATTAACTTACATAATGACCTTCAACAGCGATTGCCGCATGACATGAATGTTTCAATTCCTATGCATTTCGAAAGAGAACACCAATTTTTTCTCCATCAGTGCGCTACGATAGCAAAGGAGTCTTTGTACAAAGTCAAAGTTTTTTTCATCACTAATTGAGAAAAGGATGAATTTTCTGGCCCTGGCGGGAAGGTAACAGAGGCGATCTGTTGACTCGCGACTGGCGAGCCAACAACGAGCCAACAAACGGCGGTCGATGCTCCTTGCAGCTGCCTGATGAATCTATTGAAATTTATCGCCGGAGGATCGACGGTAATGAGACGGCCCACGGTCGGCCTACTAAGATGCGGCGAAAGCTTTTAATTGGAAAATTAATGTTTGTGTTAGTGCAGAGGCGGGCTGATGAACTCCGAGCCTACAATTCTGAAAAAGGGTTATAGCTTCGCTCAAAGTGATGCTCTTCGTCACCTCCTTGAAACCATTAGAAATAAATTTAATGAAATATTTGAATATCTGGTTAGACTCATGAAAACTGATACCGCACCCTAAGTATAACTGTATGAGACTCTTTCTAACGTGGAATAATTTCAACCTTTTGAAAGCTAGGCAATGCAATAATTTTTCGACTGAATACGCACTGAGTAAATACACTGTGGTATAGCGCAGCTACCGCTAACAGAAGAACGAGTAATTGCAATGTATTCATTTCTGTGTCCGGAAGAATCCTAAGTGGGTAGCTCCATGACCTCAGGAGCAAACCCAGCCTGAGAAAAAACTCCTTCAATACCTGGCTCCTTATTTGAAATTCGTTTCGCCCGCTACGATTTGTTTGTCAACCACTGCTATTTTAGGTCATAATCATGGGTACGACAATATTGAATACAGTTGCACTTACTGCATGCAGAGCGAAAAATAATAATCATACAGCAATTATAATGATATGGGTCGTGACTTCCATGTCGTTTTGTGAATAGCAGAATATTTTATTTAGCTGGTGTGAAATGGAGATAGTTCACGTTATGAAAATTTGCATAAATATGATTTAGAAGTAAAATAAATCAAAATACGATTAAAGATAAACGAATTTACAAAAAAATAAAAAAATGTCTCCTTTAAAAGTAAGAAATTATTGTGATACATTTCGAACTTCTGTCTGAGAACATTTCAGTTGATCTTAATTGAATGAACCATTTAGAATCCTGCCAAAATTGTGTATTGGACGTTTTGAGGCAGGCCAAATTATATAAATAATTTTTTTCGGGCGTATTGTGATTCACTGAGGGTGATACACAGCCACGTGTCTGAATAAAGGCCGATGCCAAACTCAAGCATCATTCTTTGGCAATGTAGCATCCTTTTCTCTCTTTCTATATCACGTGAAATCTAGCATTTCTAGATAACTTTGTATCACTATAACCGATAACATCAATTACGGCAATAAATTTGATTCATCTTCATTCTCACAGGATATATAGCAGCATAACATAACTTCATCATTATATTTTGTAATCGTGGGTACCAACTGCATTAGGTGTACGTATATTGCGTACGCACAACTGCATTAGGTGTACGTATATTGCGTACGCACAACTGCATTAGGTGTACGTACATTGCGTGACGAATGTACAAAGAAATTTGCTCGTCAGCCCATGCAGGACTTTGCCTTTGACGCGCTGTTGAACGTCTCCGCCCTGCAGACGACGAACTTTCAGGACCTGCCCATCATAACTGCGCTCGCAAGCAGTAATTTGAAATGACAATATTTTCAGCTGCGTGCCATGACCTTATATTTACATTACATCAGATGTCAACGATCTTTCTACTATTTGTCAACGATCTCTACAAACTGCAAACTATCCTTCTAACAGGTGCCAATAAATATTTTTACCAGTTGTCAACGATCGTTCTACCAACTGCAAACTATCCTAACAGTTGCCAACGATCTTTCTACCCGTGGTCAACTATACTTTCTGCCAGTGGCCGCAACAATTCACGGCAATGCTACCCCAAGAATTCCAGTTAATAATATTGATAATATCCACTAAGGGTTTATAAAATTCCCCACTGTATAAAATTGTTTAAGATTTATGGAAAATACGTGCTTATACAAAAATTATTATAGATATTAATTAGAAATATTGTTATAATATACTATGTTCATAACATTCAAAACTGCAAATTTTGATTTTAAAAACTGATATTT